GGTGACTGCGATTAGCGTGAGCAGGCACAGACACACGGATGAAGTGATTGCGCTCACAATGCATCACAGATTAATCTGCGTATTTTCACGACGAGATCCACCGAATTCCAACGCCTTGGAGTGTTATTTGCGGCGAGCAGACCAAAGATGTGTCTCACAATTTCTTTCGCCTCTAGGAAAGTGCTGTTGTGAATAATTGCGTTGATACAAGGAGGGACAGACATGAAACACCGCGAAATGTTTGAAGTTCTTTGAAAGGAATGCGCTGGAAACCTGAGTCTCCAGCGATCCATTTTGAAGAAGACCAAGAAATTAATGAGATTCATTAGAATTGCAAGCGATAGAAACCAAAGGTTTGCATGGGCAACATCACTTTGGATGGGTTATAAACGCCTCAAGTGCCCGATCGACATTCCTACCGGCTCACAAATTAAGCTTGGAACGTCTTAACTGAACAACTCCAATGCCTCTTTTAATGTCCACTTCGAATTCAAAGCACCGTTTTTCCATATTTAAATGGTGTAAGGGGCAGAACTTTAAAACAACTAGGAAAATGCTGTCCAAAATCTAACCGACTGATGATTGGAACTTTTTTTCACCCTAATTGGCTCATTAAATCTAATCAGAAGAAGACAGCAGTTAAACGGGGATGAAAATGGTTCGAAAAAAGAGGTTTCGTTCATCTACTAGGTGAAGAATTTATCTAGCATAAGAATCTTTTCAGAGCTTGTCAGGTGTCAACCCTCCCAAGGACTGAGTTTTTCGCGTAAATAATTAAGACTCGTTAGGGCTGAAGCAGTAGGGATTGTTGAAAAGTTTTGGATGGTGTGTTTATTTGAATGGGCCGAGATCCCTCGCTCGTCTCGCAGCGATGGTTCGCATCTGCTAAAAAATAACAATGACGCGCAACAAAACACTTTAGGCACATTTTTGGTTGAAAAAGTTGCGGAGAATGAAGTTCACTCAATGCCTTCCAACTGATCTCAACTAATAGGATGATTCCAAGTCTCACCTACTACTGCAGAGAATTTCAAATACTAGCGCTTGTTGTAATGGGCTTATCTTTGGGTGTTCGACCACCGCAACAAATTGAGGATAAAGTGCTGTGGAATTTCGGTTGCAAGTAACCTCACCGCAGGCTGATTGGTTAAGGCGAATATTTTTGCCAACTTGGCGCTCCGATGAGTCGTCGGCTTTACAGGCAGACATTGCGAGACGCGTGCAATCCACCAAATTAAGGTTCGGTGAGGAGATGAAAGCTTTTGTCCTCAAAAAATTAACTTACATACTTGTTAACCTTAATTGATGATGCCTTCCACCAGAGCCGCCACCATCTTGGTATTCTTCTTTACCTTTACTACCTCTTCGAATACAAGTTTGTGAAGTAAGCTTAGAAGCTTTGGAGGTGATACTACGCTCGTGAGTGACAGGTAATGTTGTATAGACTTTTACTGCTTACTTAAAGAAATTAATGCCTAACTTGGTATTTGAGTATTCAGCTTGAACAAGGACCACATCTCTTTTTGGTTCTAACAATCCTGCAAATAAGTGGGAAGTTGTTAAATGCAAGTAACATCGAAGACGTACGGGGCGGTGTGCATGAGGAACTCTTAATTCTACGGGATTATGGTGGAAAGAGTTTGGAAACGCAAAGGGAGTCGAAAGTGGATGCAGCCCGTAAGCTTCTATAACAATGAATGATCGTCCATACTTTTTTAACGAATTTTTAAAAATTGACAATGGTTAGGTCACAAGGAAGACTCCGACATGCTTAAATGTGAAATCATTCTCAAATTACAACTTTCCTCCTTCTGCTAATCTAAAGGCTACGCGCAATTCAGCTGCTCCAAGTTTGTACTTCCACCATAAACAACGTATTGTACGCTTAAGGATACGCATCGCTCGAGCACCAAAAATCTTCACTTCTGGAGGAAGTAAACTTTTGGTTTATTTCCAAAATTCCTTCTCCACGCAACTGAACCGAATGCAGAAACACTACTCACACATAGAAAAGCATTTTTATCCCAAGTGCCTCTGCAGCTCAGGTTTCACCCTTGTCATGCTTCGGAGATCACGGAATTTTAATAAAAATACAGCTCTACTCATCGAACTCAGGCAGCAATGACAGCGGTAGAGGTAATGTTGGCGATTATTTTATGTGAGAACGTGGGACGAGAGTGTTACTGCCTAGCAAATTTCCCTGATTCGCCTTCTTGCGTGTTCAGCTGCTTAGTCGCGGCCGTCTATCTGAGTGCGAAATCACGTCACTTATGGCATCAGGTATCCTAATTAGCTCTGGGCATTAGGTTATGGCTTGCAGGCATGTGGACTCGTTCATTGGTCTGTGGGGTCGAAATGGCCTGCCTGCTAAAGTAAGATTGGTTGGAATTTTTGATAGCGAATTCACTAAACGCATAACAACATGAAAGAGCAGACATTTGGGTGACAAAGGGAAGTCACCTTTCCACATCAATGCCAATTTGCATGCTCAGACACTTATGTTGTCGAACTTGAGCCGCTTCAAAGTAGAGACCTACGGTTATGGCGGTCACGAAGACAAAACATAAAAATGGCACTATTATAGCTTTAGGGAGGTATAGAGGCACTACACTGATCCCAGCGGAGGGCATACCCGATACTAAGCGATACAAATTCTGATGTCTACAACTATTTGGTATGACTTAGCAAGCCTGAAGTGGATCACGTTGACACCAATGCGAGAATTAGTGAAGACATTAAATATATTGAAGTTATCACACTTGTAATGGCAGTGAGAGTGGTCGTAAACAATTTGCAAATGTTTTGCAACTGAGCCCTTTCCAATGCCTTTCTCCCTCTTTGCTGACTAATATGGAAGCCAAAAAGGGCTGGCTGGGCAGAACATTTTCACCCTGTCTCGTGTCACACGGCGCTGCTTGTGGGTCATGCCCGTACAAACTTCCCATTATGCCAAAACTTTGGATAGAATAGAATCGAAAAGAAGTATAAGTGACCCCGGAGTAGACGATTCCCTCATTTATACAGGAATTCGATGACTCGTATGGATGGCTAATAGATGCTTCCCTTACATCACTACTTACGTTATGGTTGCTGATATGGGTAGGTGACAGAGAAAAGAGCTTAAAAAGAAGAGAGGTAATGTAATGATTTATTACCTGCTTTTAGCTCCCTTATGCCTTACTTGGGTAGTGAAGGAAGGTCTCGCGAAACTACAGTTATTATTCCTTTGAAACTTAACAGCTAAATGTACCACTAATAATTAAATGGCCATAATTTCTTTTCATAGTATCATACAATACGTTTGCTGTCTACCTTATGTGTGCTAAAGTGGAATAATTAGTACCACCATAAACGATGTTCAGTAAATCTTGTTTCAATCACTTTATAGATGTACATGCGGGAACGCATTCAATGTGCCTTCTTAATGAACACGTTAGTCTCAAAGGCTCAACAAATGGAAAATGTAATTCAAAGGCAGCAACCACCTGTGTACTTCCATTTGGTCTAAATCAAACTTCAATACCCTTTTAGGCACTAGCACTTCACTTGTGTCTTCATGGCGCATCCTCACAACTTACCTAATACTGACCCTTTTCCACGCTAAAACGCATTGTAATAACTTCTTGAACGATCCGGAGGGCCTCGCTGGTATTTGAAGGCATATGACTTGGCTAATTACTTGTCTTTAGGTAGAAAGCGCTGAAATGAAGGTATGGTCTGACCCATAAGGCTAACTGCGCGGCAAAAGGTATATGTCTGTCAATAGGACCACCAGTTGTTGAGAAAAACTAATGACCAGGGCGTTGTAAGTAAACCGCACCAGTAACTTTTCATGAGCTAGATGCTGAAGTTCGATATCAGAGAAACTACGCTTACCGTTTGTTGCATGTACCTACGGTATGAAGGAGACGCATTTACCTCGGTGACGGAGAATCTCCCAATCCCTCACAACGAAATAGTTGGACCTCACGCCTGCATTTCGCTTCATCTTATTCCCATGGTCCACAGACAAGCTACTAACAACTGAAGCGACCGTCATGAACCATCAGGAAATGTTTCGTGTCGGAATTTCGCCCACAAAATTCGTGTGCAGGTGTCAGAAATGACGTCACGGTTCTCCTCATATACGGGACAACCAGAGTTACACCGTCTATCCTTGGAAGCAATTGATGGTCAACAGGCGTATACGACCCCAAATCTGGTTGTCAGACCGAACGTAACTCCAGATCTAGTTGAAGCTGCCGAGGAAACCAAGTGCAGTACCTCAGTCTCGTGCTATATGTCGACTGGTGCGGCTGGCTTGTGGGTGCTTTCGTGTAGTACCGAATATGTGATAGCTGGCGCTGGAGGTGTACCAGGAGGAGCGCCGAGGAAATCACTCAAGAGAAGAGAGGGGCAGTGTAACGCCTTGTTTACTTGACTATCTGACGTTTGGCTTTCCCGATAAGAATTGTCTGACCTCGTGCTCGTGGGCTAGCCTTCGAGCTATGCTCAGACCCATTGCTCTGTTTTCTTCGGAATACGTGTATTCATCCCCGCTTATCGCCTTCTTATACCATGTGGGGAGTATTGAGGCGCTACAGTAAGGTTCGGTATATTTATCGTGGCTCCCTATATGTCATTAAAGGTGACCATACTGAACTGCAGTTTAGTGGAGACTATATTTTGGCATAAACAGTTATTCAACAATATATTCGTGAAGAAATAAACTGTAATACATGATGAAAACACAAAATTTTGCGGTGAATGAAACCTTAAATTAATTGGAAAGTACACACTACTTTCAGCGGCGTGGAACTTCCCACTCGGAATAAAGACATCGTGCTGATGTAAAAATGCAAGATTGATAACACGTGAGTAGCCTGCCAATAATTAAAATACAAAATAACGATGAAGAGTAACAATGGAAATATTATAACTATTCTTAATTGTGTAATCACGCTCTCTGTGTCTTCTTTGTATTTATCATATGGAGGCCCAGTCTTCTCAAAGTTCTGGGAATGTATAGTCGGATTGGGTTTTTCCGTGCCGCTTTTCCGCGTAACGTGTGTGCTTTGCACCAGAATATTAAGCCTCATTCAAAACTACTAATTAAAAGTGCGTCTCAAGTGGAGGTTTCGCGTCTTCTAGAATGTGGGGCTGAAAGCAGCTTCGTTGTAATACCTGACTCTCCTGTGTTTCGAGTTGATAACGGTTGCGAAATCGTCCAAACAGTCGAACTGGATCCTCGAAAAGGGGGTGTTAATAAAATACAAATTCCTGCTAGACGGAGTTAGTGGTTATGACCTTTAATGATTTACTAGTAGCTATTGAAATAGAGCATAACAGCTCTGATCCGATTTCCTTTGTCAACTACGAGGGTCCACAGGCCATGATAAGATCAATCGGTCCTGTCAATTATGCAAAACTGAGAGTACTTAATGTCATATATAATAATTCTGTTGTAGGTTTCGGATTTTTCCATCAAATCGGGTGGAAACGTTGTTGGTTCGGGGTATCTGGAGGGAAACTTCGATCTGGTTACAAACGGCGTACATTGCACTCTCTGATGCTTAACTTTGGCTTTCCTCAATGATATAATTCTGATGGTGTCTCCGCATTTCAGTCCTTCAAAGCTGATAACATCACTGGTTCGTCAATCGGAATCGCTTTCGGCGGGACCAACTTTGCTGTTCATTCTGCCTACTGTGAAACACTGAATCTCAACTGGATTACTCCAGAAGAACCTCCAGACGGGGTCACCCCAGTTGAATTGCCTCCGCTCAGCGTCTACTTCGGGACATTGCGTGGCTATGCCACAATTGAAATCGCTGGCGATGCCAACCTCAACATTGGTACGACGTATTTCTTTTTATGTAGAAAACCTCTTCGGTTACGGGTGAACAACCCTCCTCTCCTATTTCCCTCCTTTTTAGGCAGTTTTGAGGGCTCTCTCTACTTGCGTCAGCGATTTGGCAACGTTGCTGTACATATAGGCGGTCCATGCCCACTTCTAGAAATCGATGTCGCTGAAGGCAACGTAGAACTAAGCCTTCCACTATCCACTGTTGGTGGAGAGGTTTCCGGCGTCATAGAGATTCAGGCGCCTGAAATCGATGTCGACCGAGATGCTCTTCCCGCCGATTGCCTTGATAACTGGGATCTTGGCGAGGTTGCTGAGGCGCATACTTTCTACGGTGAGATTCTTCTCTGGCTTGTTTCTCCCACCTCTCCTCTCCTCAGAACAATCAATTCAGTTAATCTAAGTCTTTTGTTCTTACATTAGCTAACTTTAACAAACCCGAAACGAATTGCGAGACCCTCTGGAGAGTGCGCACTTTACGCGGACGCGTTAAACTGACCGGCGCTTCATGGGCAGATGCGATGGCCCGATGCATCGAGCGCACCACTGCAACCATGACCTAGATAGTTACTACCGCTCAACGATTACGCTTCAACAAATTGATCCGATTCAATAAAGCCTGCAGCTACGCTTTCATCAGCAATGGATAAAAGAAGCAAAGGGACACAGAGAATGTACAGTAATTTATTAGATGAAAAGCCGTGCCTCCGTTGCTATTTCTGCTCGACCCTTACTTTTGACACTGGCGCGCTCCTGACGCTTGATCCTCAGACGAAACTCATTCTGAAGCCGTTTTCTTTCTTCTCGTTTCTTTCGTTCCCTCACTTCCTCACGACTGAGTACTGTTTGGGCATTCTTTCTTCCCTGGTCAAATGTATAGATGTTTTTCGTTAACAATGCAAACACCTAACACTTATAATGGAAGCGAGTTAAAATCACTTACCTTAACGACGTTAGTATCAGTAGTGAAGTTGCTTTTCAGCAGGGATTCGTCGTCATCTTCTGAATGAGATGCTTGGGATGCATTGGACGTTGAGACCTCGTCATGGACGTCTCCGTCACTATCCACCTCTTCGCTTGCGTCTGTTTCTGGACCAGTATCTTCATTGCTGAGCGCGAGAGCCGCAACTGTGCCAACAAGGAGCTCTGAGTCGTCCATGGATACTCGATGAGAGCCAATTTTGTTCCTCTTTTGAGACCGTTGGTTGGGGTAGCCTGGAGCTTTCAACTCCACATCCATGTGTCCAGTTCGGCTGATGAGGAAATAACTTCTCTCACTCTGCTCCGACACCATGAAATATTAAAACCTGACCCCATTAGTGGGGAGCATCGGTCGTAGTTTCTTAAGGTCTAATTTTCCCCCTGCTGCGTTGCCGAGTACGTCCCACAAATTGATTTTTGATATTTGGTGGATTCCTTAACTTAACACGGAGAAAAAGCCGAGCATCGGCCGAGTCAACAAATCTAGTTTTCGAAATAAGGCAAGTTATGCATCACGATCACGATGAAAGGGATGGGATGAGAGAAACAACCCAAAATTCTACGTTTTGTGGCGATCAATGCCTTCATTTCTTGCAAAAAAATTACGTCCAAACATCTGACGCAGCACAGCAAGAGTGGATGAGTTACACAGACCTAATCAGTTTAATATTGGCTTAATACAAAGCTGGGGAAAAAACCCGAGTCACTTTAGGGTGACGGCCAGCTAAGTTTCGGGTTTCATGCATTTTTTTTCGCCTATAAGTCAATGAAAAACATGATTTTGGACTTCGACAAGATTAAAACACAATATACGCTCGGATCACGCAGTCAGAATAAAAGCAAACGGGAGGGGCGAAGCCAACACCCAATAAAGTAAAAATAGGAAAAGTAATACGAACTTACGGGATGTCAGTGAGAGAGCGAGGAGGGGTGTCTGCCGGAGAGATCTCAAGGAATCTGCTAAAGAAACTGATGATCCCGTTCAAGTCTCGCTCGTATATCCTACAAACCAAAATAGATGCAATTCTCCAGCTCCACACCTAACTCATCAGTGATGTGTTGATTCAGCCGTAGCTAAGGTTTGGGAATAATTTCACTTAGGCGGGATTCATTGTCCTATTTGAAGACAGGTCTGAAACAGATGTTTTATGATAAAACGCCATGTTTGATCCCTTAATTGGAAAGGGGTTATTTTATGAAGTTCCCAAGTCCGCTTCAAAGAGCTCACAAAGCAACTTCAAGGGCACGACAAAAATGCTTTGATAAGTTGGACCTGAAGCGAGACGTATCATCGTGACAGCCTTAGGAGCAAGGCCAAGTGGCGACTTTATGTGACGGTACTGTAAGACTGGTAGCAACAACCAAAGGAAAACAAATAACAAGTCTTGCACCAGAACCAACCTAGAGAACAACATTTAACCAGTAGTTAAATTAGGCACTAACGAGATAATTCACCACAGAATAATCGAGGAAGTTAGATTGAATACTCAGACCATTTAACAAAACCCACATACTCCTGAGCAGTCGGATGATTTCGACTGATCATCTGAGGGAAATCTATGAGAAACAGCTTGGGTTCAGTCGCTACCGTCGTCGCGGTTTTTACATCAGCCCCATCATCGCCACCATCTTGCACCAATCCATGTACAAGGAGGTTGAACTCGTTGAAGTCGCCATGAACAAGACCGTTGCGAGTAATGTTATCAAGAATGTCCACAGCCTGAGCGTACAGCGTGCTAGCAAGGACAGCGTCATCGGCACGGAGGATGGTGGGTAAGACCTTGCAGAGAGGCACCATGTCCATCAAGAGACTCATCACCACCGCATTGCGGTTGTTCGCCAATGGACACGGCACTGGCAGCCCGTGGTGATAAAGCATCTAGAAGATGGACCGTGAGAGATCAGCAAATGTTATCAAAGACAGGCGCTAGCAAATAACCAAGTTTAAGGTTAGAGAAACTGCATTCAACCAAACGCAGTTTTGTTTCATTCTGCCACTTGAAGCAATCATTACCACAATTAGATGCGATAAGGCACAGCTGTACTCATGCTTTGAATGTGATAAGATCTTTGAAGAAATGATGAAATTAGATGATTATTCTTTATCGCTAGCATTCATTGCTACCATTGCTCCCCTTCCCCACCAAGGCTTCAGAATAAGCCTCCAAGGGTGCAGTAACACCATCAGATATCCACAGAAAGTTTATCAATAAACTTCAGCCATTAAAACTACCACCATTTGCAATCCTTTTCCTGCATCCGTAGACTCCTTCCAACGAAATTCAAGTCCAGCTGCAGTGTCTGTCTGAGAAAGCCATCAATTCCATTACCATCGTTTCTCCCCGCATTTTGCGCCCAAATCAATGGCATGATGCGTGTTTAACGGACCAATCAAATTTCAGAAAAATGAAAGGATTAAGAGTGAGAACGAAGCATCATACTATCCCATCCACCCTACCTTAGATTGTCTTCCGCATTTCGTCACATGGTTTCACGACATACATTAATTGAACTTTACGATACAAATATTAAGGGGTCTTTTTGATGTGAACTTGCTAAGCTAGGCAGCAGAATAATTCCCAATCGACTGTCTACAGATCTCAGCACATAAGGCGAGTACAGTGTCCCGCGAGTAAAAAGTTGCGCGCCTTTGAATGGCGGAGTAAGCTGTAGTCATAGTCAAAAGTCAATGCTAACATGTAGGGACGGAGCTGATAATATGCTAATAGTCCACACAGCACATAATCACTTAATCAAGACGACTCTATAACTTTAAAGGCATAAATAATAGTTACTTCTAAGATGTATTTCGGTGAGGTTAAGCATTTTGCTTAATTCACACAGTCTGGAGAAGCATTTCAGCAACCCATCTTTAATAACAAGTGAAACAAAAAGCTCTAAATACAAAACATACCCGCATCATCTCATATTCGCGTTTAGCTGCTAGCCGATCGAGATAAAGCCAAGAACAAGTGTTTCTATGCTGATGATATTCTCGCTTCTCCCTCACCTTCCTGAACGAGGTTCGACCCAAACGGTGGAACTTTATAACAATGTAATCACCTTTTGAGGGTAGATCTGGCCGCAAATTTTGGTCAACCGCTGCGTATTTTTCTTCCGTCGCGTCGCCTTGTCTACCACACAAGTCACCAGCAAGGGCAAGATAAACATCGGATTCCTTCCCAGATCCTATCATGGAACCCAAATCAATCACCTGGCCAGACTTTGTTAGTGTATTCAAAGCCAAATAGTCATATCCGAGATTTGTAAGCCGATATCCTGAGTACCCTGAAGACAATATCGGAGCGTTAACAAAATTCCAACTCAGGGTTTCACCTTTGCATCAGTCATCCGCAAAGATGACTTAACAAATAAGATCATGATCATCATAGTTGGGGAGAACGTGCCTTTCCTAGAGTCATTTTCGTAGGCAAGAAGACCATGGGGAACTAGGTCATCACGGAGAAGCTTCAAAAAAGCAGAGCTGCGACGCGAACAACGAGAGATTTTGTGCACCAAATCGATGGGTACAAATTCATGGTTCTTCATGCCCATTTCAACGGCCATTAGGACACGCCACGATTCATTTGTCATGTAACGAAATTGGTCAATTTTAATTGACTTTGGCATTCTGGAAGAGCCTAATCTTAACAAAAAACGAAGAAAATATGTGCTGACGGATATAGTTTGTTGTTATAGGCTAATAAGCAAACAAGCAAATGCCAAATGAGTAACAGAACAATTGTTTGCACTCATAGAAACGACGATGCGAAGCTTAGTTATAAAAATCTATAAAAAATGAAGAGTCCACATCAAACATAATTAAGGCCTGTATAAAAACATGACAAAAGATGACAGTAATAAAAATAATAGAAAGCCTAGCCAAGGCCAACATTAACCAGCGAGACTCCAACACCAGCACGAGCAATGGTCGTAAAAGTTCAGCGCAGCACAACACCAAGGCTTACGCACAAAACAATATAACTCATGCCTAAGAAAAACGACCAATAAAGATATATTATAGTTATTTGAAATTCGTTAAAGACCATCGAAACAATTTTTTAATGCTCTTATTATGTGGCATTTTCAATAAATCATTAACAAACCAATACATAGTAATTTTGAGTTTATTTGTGCTGTAGCAAGCCGAGACTTCCCACAGTGTGGAAGATGTAGTATATACAAGAGTGTTTAAGTTGAGAGGCGGGAGTTGAAATTTAACGCGAACGCGGTGCGTGGGGATCGTGCGGAGTCCGTTTTCGGGTGATATTACCTGTTATTCGGCTCATCTGTACTCCCATCCCCGTTCTTACTGTAATCAATGCCTAATAAATCTACTGCAACTAAATCTCTCTTTAAGTCCGTGGTTCAAGGGGACGGGTGCTGGTCGACATCCCTCCCTTTAAAGGAGGCACGGACTTCGATGACTGGCGTTTTTTGCAAATGCAGAGCTCGGGCTCTTCGATTCTGCATGGAGAGTGCCGTTGCTACTCCGCACCTTGTCCTATAACCTACGTCGCGAAGTAATGGACGCGGATGTCACGCCTTCCTCGGATATGGAAGTGCTACACGATTCTTGTTAAATTGACGTCCTTCCAGAAGGAAGAATTTTCAGCTTCAGACCTTTCCGCCGGTAACAAAACCTGGGGGGAGTGATGAGGACTTCGCGAGGAATCTCCAGTCATTAGCCCAACAGGCATTTAAGGATTGTTGTTCCTTGCGGGTTGTCCCATGGATGGCGGCCCAATTCAGAAGGGGTGTGTCCACCTGCCTTGGCAGAACAACGGGTGCACATGAGAACCAGCAGATCGAGTCGTCTCCTCGACGCAGCAGTCTCCAAGCGCCAGGAGCTTTAATTCTTAACGGAGTTCAGCACCCGTTTTCGTCCATGGACTCCCAGTGGACGTTTACTTACTGGTGGCAAAGGCATGATCTCCAAGGCGGTCCCTCAGTACAAAGTAAGACAGGAATTTCTTTGCCGTTTCTGCGTGCTCATTCCTTCTGGATTGGGAGGCAGCCTGTTCGCTACTAAACCCACAAGTCTTCCTCATGGTTTGCAGCGAGGTTAACATTACCCCACCGGCTACCATGCTACGCTCTGCAGAAGAATATCGGGAATAGGAGAAGTCTCTATCAGGGTCGGTCGGGAAAGATGGCTAGGAGGTGAATTTTGTGCTATGTCCAGAACTTGCCTGGAACGTACTGCTTGGAGCCCACTTCTTACGCCAGTCTCGAGCGAATATGGATTTGGATGCACACCTGCTCACAACCTATCGAAGGTCCAAGAAGAAGCTTTGGATTCCCAAGCCAAAAAATGTGCAGATGACACATGTAGGTCCCTATTCGTCGCCCTTGCCGTCCCGGGACCAATCTAAACGATCTCTGTGCTCAACGTTAACAAATTATCGCTGATGAGAGGAAGTAACTGCGCTCAATCCTGAAGAGTTACTCACAAATGTTTTCCTGGCACGAACGAACATAGTCAAAAACAGGATCGACGTTGGTGAAACCAAACCGGTCTGGCAGCCGTCTAGACACGTACCACCACCCCTTCAGGACGAAGTACATCGATTGATTAACGAGAGGCTGCGCAACAACGTTATCAGGTCTTCTCAGTCATCCTGGTCCTCCTCCATCGCATTAGTTAAAAATAGTGACGGTGGCCTACGTCTGTGCGTTTGTTATAGGTGGTTCAATGCAGTAACAAAGAAGGATGCGTTCCCTCTACCCCACATTAACGACATTTTGGACCCTCTGCAAGGGGCAAAGTGGTTCTCGACATTGGATCGGAAATCCGGCTACTGGAAGGTGGAGGATGGAGAAAAAACAGCCTTCATTGTGGCAAATGAACTATATGAGTTCAAAACGATGCCTTCTTGGTTTTGTAACGCGGCAGTCACATTCCAGCGACTTATGCAGACAGCATTGCGTGGTCTTTTCCCGACCACGTTTTCGTTTTCGGGAGACACCAAACAATAACTCCAACCTCCGATTAGTACTGGATCGCCTTCGAGAAGCAGGTTTGATGCTGAATTCGAAGAAATGCAGTTTTAACCACAATTCGTTCACGTTCCTGGGACACAATTTCTGCAAATGGGATGCCGGTTACGGAAGACAGAACAGGACAAGTGAGGACGTGGTCGACACCTACATATCAAATGGAACTTGGCAGTTTCTTTGGCTTGGCTAACTATTATCGGGGTTTTGTAAAGGGTTTCGCCAAGATCGCAATTTCTCTATACAGGTTGACAGAGAAACGGGCAAAAAGGAGTTTCGTTGGGAAAAGGCACATACAGAAGCATTTAAGGAGTTGAAGCGTGTACTTTGCGCGGCGCTGAACTTCACTTTACCAAACTTCCATGCCGAGGCTCCTCCTTTCGTGCTGGATGCAGACGGCGGCGGTAAGTGAAGTTCTATTTCAAAAAGACAAAGACGGGAGAAAACATGTTATCGCGAACGTTAGCTCACGTCTAAGCAAAAAGATGGAACAGAAGAGGACAACGGAACGGGAACTTTTCGACAATTATACAATTACACGAGGTGATAGAAAAGCAGTTCGTTTGGAGGACAGATCAGCAACCATTGACATGGTTGAAAACGATGAAGTAGATCGATCCCCCGTTGCGAGGCGGTACGAAGAGCTCCAGTAATATGATGTTATTGTGTAATATAGGAAAGGAAGCTCTCACGGCAATGAGGACGCTCTGTCACGGAGACCCTCATCCCCGTCTATAGATAGCGACACAGTAGGTGCGCTGTTATTGAGCGAGCCTACTTCCCATCACTGGACAACCACGCAGAGCTCCGACTCCGATACAGCTTTAGTCCATGAAACACTACAGTTGAGGAAATGAGCTCGGCGAGCAAAAAGCCAAGTAAATATGGCAGAATTGGGAAAAACTCTTTAGAGGATGATGTCAAGCGGTACAAAGCCGATGGTGAGGTAGGTTCCAAGCGCTTCGTAGCACCCGGTTCCTTGGAATTGCATGAGCAACTTGGCCACGTGGAGGACAGGAAGATGCTTGACGCCGCAAGGAAGAGGTATTGGTGGTCCTCACTGACATCGGATGTCTCCGATTTTTTTCGCACATGCGTCACGTGTACCAGCTTAAAGAACTCGACCCGCACGGCGATAGTCCCTCTACAGCCGATGTCCACGAGCTTTCCCGGGGAGCGAGTAGACATAGATATCATAGCTCCGCTTCCCACGACTCCGAAAGGGAACTGTTAGACTATTTCACTAATCAATCGCTGGGTCTGCCAACATGGCGTGTCTGATTCTGTACATGGTGACCAAGGGGCGAGCTTTGAAAGTCATCTTCGAAATCCGTAAGACGCGTACGACGCCGGGTCAAGCCGCACTCTTGTCGACTTATTGAAGGCCTTTACTAAAGAGGTGTAGCCCGAGGATTGGGACCTATACCTAAGACGGTCTCTCCTCGTCTACCGAGCCTCCGATCACACCTCGATTGGAGTCTCACCACTTAAGATGTTCATGGGCCGTGAAATGAGAGTTCCTTCTGACATTTCATTCCCTTGTAAGAAACCGTCGGTGGATAACGCGCCTCAGTGTCTTGAGAGAACCTCAGGAAAGTGTTTAACGCTGCGCACGGACAGCTGAAGAATGCATACACTAGGCAAGAGAGATCCTACGATAGAGGCGAACAAACGTCTTTAAGGAGGAAAATTTATCGCTATTGTATAGACCAATCTCCTCGCCAGAAACCTATCAGAAAGTTTACCATCCCTGGAGAAAGGATCCCTACCGGATAATCAAAGTCCTACCTTCCGCGAAATATCTCATTAGACCTCTAAAAGTATATCATAACACTGCCCTTCTCTTTTCTCGAGCGATGTCCTCGGCGCTCCTCCTGGTACACCTCCAGCGCCAGCTATCACATATTCGGTACTACACGAAAGCACCCACAAGCCAGCCGCACCAGTCGACATATAGCACGAGACTGAGGTACTGCACTTGGTTTCCTCGGCAGCTTCAACTAGATCTGGAGTTACGTTCGGTCTGACAACCAGATTTGGGGTCGTATACGCCTGTTGACCATCAATTGCTTCCAAGGATAGACGGTGTAACTCTGGTTGTCCCGTATATGAGGAGAACCGTGACGTCATTTCTGACACCTGCACACGAATTTTGTGGGCGAAATTCCGACACGAAACATTTCCTGATGGTTCATGACGGTCGCTTCAGTTGTTAGTAGCTTGTCTGTGGAACATGGGAATAAGATGAAGCGAAATGCAGACGTGAGGTCCAACTCTTTCGTTTTGATGGGTAGAAGTCGTTGGAAGACGGCAGTAAGTGAGGCGGAGTGCATGTATTCCGAAGAAAACAGAGCAAATGGGACTGAGCATGGCTCGAAGGCTAGCCCATGAATGCAACGATCAGAAAACTCCTAAAGTGATCGCTGAACGTCAGATAGTCGCATAAACAAAGCGTTACATGTGCAAGTTGGCCATATCATGCTGAGCATTCAAAGAGCTAAAAGAAGAAGGAACCAAGGTGGACTAAAAACATTCATTCAATAGATAGAAGAAGGGATTAAACCCAAGGTTATCTCACACACCGGCATTTGCGTACAAGGACCAGACGAATACCAAAGCAACCGCCACACATCAAGCAGCTACATTACACCGCCCCTCCCTCCATCTCAGCGACGTCATGGGCGATCGCCTTAGTACACCTCCCGCGCCCACCACTACAACATTCGGTACTGCAGGAATGCACCCACAAGCCATCCACCCCAATCGTCACCTACCATGAGACTGCACCCTGGTACTACACCTGCAGCTACGTTCGGCCTGACAGCCGAAATCAGAGTCGCATACATCTGTTGCTCATCAATTGCTTCCAGGATTGGACGTTAGCATACTGACCTGAGACAGATGTTTAACAAGGAAGACGGGGTGAGACAGACCCGTAGATGAGGAGGTCCTGTTGTCATTTCCGACACCTATACGTGGATGCAGAAGGGAGAATTGTGACACGAAACTTCCAGATAATTCATGAAGGCATCGTCTCAGCTGTTCATACCTTATCAGTGGAATATGGAGACAAGGTAGGGGCAAACGCAGACATCTTTCTAAACCATTTTGTTGTAAGTACTTCAGACTCTTCCGCTTGATGTAAGTCCGGTTACTTACACCATAGGTACTAGGTTAGATGCTTTTCAAAGAAAAGTCGGTTTCGTTTTCTGCTGAGAACAATGTAGCTCCCAAGACTCTCCACATTGCAGATGATAGCATTACGTTGACAAATTGCATGCATTCCAAGGCGAAAAGAAGGGATAGAGCCTTTGCACACCCCGAGGACCAGCTCACGCATACGATGCTCAGACGACTTCCGCAGTCTCCGTCAGCCTTGCGAGCGTTTACATAAACAAAGCATTACATTAATTCCCTTCGATCGACTATCATTGTAAAATAGTCAATTTTACATTTAGTCATCGTTAAAATTTTGTTTTCTCCTTCTTCTCCTCGGTTGGATCAGGTGTAGAGCGTAGGGGCTCCTTAGAACATTCCACTAGAGGGGAGGAGTGCAGCGATCTACGATCGGGCATTCGAAAGGGAAGAGACATGAATCGCCTTGGATCCTCCCGTACTAATTCCAATCCGATCTTCCATCAAAAACACAAATAGAAGGCACGATTAAGGTCGTTGTTGAAGGCGATTCAACCCGAATCACCTGCTAGTTATACGCAAGGATCTTCCCCTGCAGTAGTGCTAGTCACTCGTCTTAGTCACCCAAATTCCTTGTATTTCGTAAGAGGTGCTCAATTAATCATCTCGAAGCACTCCACTGCCTACGAAGGCAGAACTTTAGAAGCCTGAGGTTGGGATGGATGACCTTACACGTGTGACATCCTTAGGCCTAATGTGTTCAAACATCATAATTATTAGTGACTTGCATCATTTGTTCCAAGGAGGGCAGTCCCCATGTTCTCCAGCTGAATTAACAGACCTGAAATGACTGTGTCAGACTTCCTACGCGACGAATGTTAGGCGGTTTGCTTTTGATACTAAAATTTTTGTTTTTAAAATCAGACATGACATGCTTTCAAACACTAAAATGGGTGCCTTGTTTTATTATCCATTAGCAGCATGAAGGTTAAACTGCTGTCCAGTTTATGAACGCATCAGAGGTGTAGATGCATCGAGGGGTGTAGATTTTAGCCTCCCAGTTGTGAATCCAATACTTTGTGTGTGCAACCTGTCCTATATTTGGGATATCTTTGCATTATACAGGGTACAAAATGGAAAGGCTACGGAAAGGAGGTGAAACTTGCCTTCGACGTCAACTCAACGTGCATTACAATGTGAATACGCGTATGAATGACGACCACTTTCTTAGTCATCATACATCAGCCATTGCCCAACTTCTAACCCTTCTGCTCAAATACTAGGGCTCAACTATTCCTAACACATTCTAAAATCGAATGAGAAATCTCGGGACGTTATAATTGTAGTAACGCAATACTAATTTCCACCAGCTGCGACAAACTTGTTAGGTGTAAAGGAAGTGTACACACTTTGGGTGGGAGATTTCTCATCCTCTCGATGGCAGAGGGGATGAGAATGACATCTGCGCTTGACATCTACCTCAGTGTCTCGTTCCATTGGCAGACTGTTGATAGCTTTCGTGAAAAGCCTAAAAAATCTCGCACAGGAGTTCCTATTATCACATTCGTGTAGAGATGTCAACGACGACATTATAGCTAAACCCTCTTCCGTGCAGGGCTGCGTTCACTCCATTTTTCCTGCTATGCATTTTGTTTCAGAACGCTGTTCCTATGTCAAGCCCCATCAAAGGTTCTTAGAGAGTGAAGAACATTCCCTAAGTCTTGTGGGTGTTTCCTTACAGCACCGAACGCGTTTTGGTGGCTGGTGCGCTGAGAACCTCGCTATATTGTGTTTATGTGACTGGTCGTAACATGTCTTCTGCCCCTCCTGTCTGAATACAAGTATTTTTTAGGCATCGAAAAAGAAGTCTTAGGATGCTACAGTAAAAGCTAACGAAATCCCTTAAGAATAAATCAAATTCCTCTCATTCGACTGTATCCTTGCAGATGTTTACACGTTGAGTAGGCACTTGAGACCACAGGACCATTACGTAGCTTAGCAAATATTCGACATATTAACTTTGACTTAGTCAGGCACATCATTTTGCCTAATGCATTTGTAGCGTCTCGAGACTTTCCACCGGGCAGAAGAAGACATTAAGTGAAGCTGAATACATGTTTTTCAAGGAGAACAAAGGAATTAAGCTTGAGCTTGGCCTAAAGGCCAGTCCACGCGTACAAGAGTTTGGCGAATCTTAAAGTGACCGTCAGGCATCAGATGATCACATAAGCAAAGTATTACAACATTGACCAAATCTAGCTACAAGAACCTTGAAGCGACTTCAGTAATACTTTGTTTATGTGAGCAACTGATGTCCCGTGATTACCTGAAGGCTCGTCCGGGCCGTGTACGCGTGGTCTGGCCCCCGGGCCACGCTCAGGCCTAATTACTTTGTTCGCCTTAGAATACATGTATTCAGCTCCACTTACTGCTTCTTCTAACCGATGGGAAGTCTCGGAGTGCTACACTGGTGACAGCATGTACCTACAGTGTGGAGTACGTTTGACATTTTTACGCATTTGCATCTGGGGTAGGAGAATCTCTGAAGCTTTCGCAACAAAATATTTAAAATAACGTCTGCGTTTGGCTTCACTTGCACCCGTGTTCTACAAACAAGTTATAAACAACTGAAACGACGTCACCGTAAACCATCTGGAAGTTTCGTGGCAGAATTTCTCCTACTAAATCCGTGCATAGGTGTCGGGAATGACACTACGGAACAGAACGGTGTCTAATCTCGCTTCCCCTCTAATAGACCTGCTTTAGACCAGAGTTCCATCATCTAGTCCCGTAAGAGATTGATCGTCAACAGATGCACACGACACTGATTTGGCGTGGAGAACCGAACGTAACTTGATGGTTAGCCAAATCGGCCAAGGAATCTGTCCAAGAACTTTCAGTCTCATAGTAGCCGTTGACTGACGCGGCTGGCTCAAGAGCACTAGCGCGGAAGGTGTGTCAAGGAGAGCGCCGAAGACGTCGCTCGAAGGGAGAGAGAGTGTACTAATTTGTTAATGTGACCACCTGATGTCTGGCGGTCACTTTGAGATTCGTCTGGTCCTCATACGCGTGAGCTGGCCTTCAGAACGAACCCAGGCTTAATTTATTTGTTCTCCTCGGAATACATGCATTCAGCTCCACTCAATGTCTTCATCTGCCCGATGAAGTCCTGGGATGCTACAACTTCTGTCTTTAACTTCTTTGGGAAAAATATATCAGGCAAGTCGCCGAATGCAATAAATTATAAGAAAAAATCCTACCCAAATCTGTAGTTTGACTAGCCCAAAGGCATAGTTTCCATCGTTGCGGTGCAATGGCTGAAAAGCAAAAGATAGTCAAACCAGGCGTGTGAGTGAAGTCGTTATCTGTTCTAGTGGTCTTCATAAATGCAAAAGTCCAAAAGGTAGGTATAACAAGAATTTAAATATTTAATGCAGTAAGTGCAGCTGGCTACGTGTATTCCGAAGACGACAGGACAAACGGATCCGGACATGACACTAAGGCCAGCCCACGTATACGAGGACCAGACAAACCCTAAAGTGACCGCCAAAGTCCAGCTGGTCACATAAACAAAGCATTACAGTGTAATTTTTTTAGTTATAGCATATATGGAGTTCTACCTTTAATAAGTGATCTTTTTTCAGCGTCAAAACAGCTTTCACTTTCCAATTCGCGAGCGTAGCAATTGCGTTTTATAAGGATGTAAAAATTATATTCAACAGCAAGCTTGCCGGCTCTTGCGAGGTTACATTTTTGATGGTATCTTGCTTGGGTTGATCTTGAAGGTCATTTGTCTGTCGTGTTTGAATTCTTCAACTTAACCTACAATGGTAGTTAGCGCGCCCTCGGAACGTGTATTGTGCGGACCGGTCGGGTGTGTGGTTTAGGCAATGAAGGCACAGCCGGGGGTTGTTTTAGATAACAATGGAAAGCAGTATCAAGATAGAGGCTGGGCCTGGGTTGTTATGTGTGGTGCTTTTTTCGTACATTTCATAACTGCCGGTTGCGAGAAGTCATTTTCTTTGTGGTATATAGAAATTCTTGACGCTTTCGCAACTAACTCGGCTACAGCTGCTACTCTGGGTGGAATGTGCGCAGCCGTTCGCCTTATTCTAGGTATCTGTCTCCTTAGCTATGCTTATTTTAGCTCCTGTTGCTGTTATGCTTTGTGACAAATACTCCACTCAGTCTGTTGTCATTTCCGGTGGATTATTTTCTTGCGTTGGACTGATTGTAGCAGCTTTAACTACATCTGTACCTGGATTATTCATCGGCTTTGGTCTCGTTTATGGTAATGTTTTAGCCTGCTTCACTTCAGTAAATTTTCTTTAGGTTTCGGTCTTACTCTCGTATTCACCCCAACTCTTGTTGTCTGTACTGTATACTTTGAGAAGCGTCGTGCAACCGCTCTTAGTCTTTCACTCTCTGGTGCTGGTTTTGGGGCCTTTTGCATTCCTCAACTGGTCGCTAAACTGCTCAGCGTCTTCGGGTATCGCGGTGCGATGTTAATTATGTCTGGAGTAGTTCTGCATTATTGCATTTCTGGCGCCATTTTCTTCACACCTTTTGATCGCAGTATAAAGATCCAAGACGCAGAGACTACACCAACCCAACGCCTCTCACTTGCTGCCCGAATTAAGGCGAAATTTGTCTTCCTCGAATTTTTTCATAACTCATTGTTCATGCTCTTTATCATTTCCTTCATCTTCAATATGATGGGATCAGGTCCGGTCACAACGCTCATAATTCACTATGCGGAAGAATTCGGAGTAGGTGACTTATTAACGGCTACTCGTACTACCGTCATTTCTGTATGCCTTATTTCCATCGTGGCTTTCTTCAGCTGGAGCTCCATATCGCCGTACTCCTCTTTGCAATCGAGGGTGGAGTTCAGATTATAGCAAGAAGCTTGTCGGGCTTGCTGTTTGATCAGAGAACACTGAAGAAAATACGAGGAATAATCTGGTGTGCAGACATCCTGGCTTCTGGGACAGTTGTATGTCTTTTCGCGGTTATTACCAGCTTTACCGGCTTGGCTGTGCTCATGGGCCTTCGGGGTCTCTTTCTGGCTATTTACATTTCACACCAAACTCTCATGACTTGTGACATGTGCGGCGGATCGAAGGAATCGGGTTTACTTCCGCATGCTATTGGAATGACTCAACTTTCAAAGGGTGTCGGAATACTCCTGGGTTCATTGGTTTCCGGTAGGTAGTTTTAGTTTATTTCAAGGGTCTTGACAACACTTTTCCAGTACCTGTATTTAGGTTTCGACCTAAAAGAATATGTGGCCTCACACCAAACGTCATTGTTCTTATACTGTAATCATTCACTTCCGTAATAGGAGGAGCTAGCTACGTCTAAAGGGTGTAATTACGGGATATATTGCTGATTTGCTTGAGGGTCCCATCAAAGCATATTGTTTCCACGTCTGAATACAGTGATCTGTGGCATTCTAGTGATACAGAAAGGTAACAAATGGTCATTTTGCTAAAGAAGTTTCAGTGCATGAATCAAAACGGTTTCGGGTGTCTGCCAACTTTTATGATGCAGATTTGTATGTTGAGTAGGCACTGACGGTTGAGATTGGTAGAGGTGTGGTTCCTACGTTGACGACACTAATATGCACTTTTTCCGCTTACACATGAAGCTGCACTCTTGAGATAGCCATCATTTGTAGACTTTCAGTTACTACAGATTTAACGATTTGTATTACCCACCCAGAGACTAATGTCTTATCTGCAAAACTGACGGCACTTAACCTGAACCCTTGTTTTCAGCAATATAAACACTTATTTAGGTACCACCATAACAAATGCCATGTTTCCGAAGCATCAGCATTGAGTTAGCTGCTTGCGTTAGTGAATGGGCTGGATTTTTTAGGACAGCGATGATAGTACGGAATATGTGGTAATGGAATCTAGTAGGGCTATTGGTCAGAAAAGTGCGTCTCTTAATTACAGCTTGAAAGAGTCTACAGAACCACGGAATGCTAGAACGATAACAAGCATGGAATAGCAAATTGGCGTTTGTGTTTGTCACGTCCACTACTCGTTAAATGAAACTTCCGCTCTTTTGATGCTAGATTCTGCCGAAATTTTGTTTTTTGCACTTGAGTGAGAGTGGCCTATCGGTGCTTTGCTTCAATGCGAATTGTTTCCTGTGGAGCATGTAATATTAATCAGTTTGGTAAATTTGAGACCGGTACACAATGCGCACCCCTTAAAGGATAGAGTTTGCTTAGCAAAAGAAGGAGAGGTACTGTTTCATTTTATCAAGCTATTAACGCACCCACGAGCCAAACTCCATGAGTCGCTAATAACGGAGATTACAAGGTATTTGTCAAAGGTTTATGAAACCTCTCTCAAGCTTTTCGGATCACGAATGTAGACTAGCAAAAATCATGTCATTCTTCAAAAATCTTCACCAGCGTAATTTGCTCCGTTATTGGTCACTTACAAAGCCGTTGTGTCTTTGAATCGAACTAGGTGTACTCATAACTTGTTATTACCGTTTGTTGGACGTAGAAGGTCAACAGCATGAAAGCCGTTTTGAGATTTCCCACATTAGTTAGTTGTACCCAATGGAGCGCATCGCAACCACCAAGCCATGGAGGCTGTTTCCACAACTCAAAAGGAATTTGGGCACACAGTTGTCACTATTCGTTACTTCCCATTCATCAGCTGAATTTACCTCTGGCTAATAGCCGGGAGGTCTTGTCAAAGATTTTGCTTTTTCACAAGTTGGACGTCCCGAACATGGATATATTTAAGGTCTGGGCTTTTGATTGCATAACTATATGCTCGGCGCAGGGCAATCTACCTTGAGTCTTCGGTAATTAAGGAGGCAGAGGAATATTGAAAATCTACTTCTTATTCCTGGATCTATTGTTGATGCAAATCGTCAGACATGAGTGTTAGTGGTTAAGCAAGTAGTTGGCCCGGAAAACGGGTCCTAAACCGTGGGGCACGACAGTGTGGTTACAGGTCGCTAACGCAATGCTCGTTGAAGCACCGTGACTGTAGTTGACTTGCTGGATTACGGCGTGGGATGATGCAAAACATTATTTCGTCAATGATAAGAAATGTGAAAAACTTTTAAGAATACTTCATGGGGTCACTGGACACTGCCTGAAAATAGGTGTAGTCACATCGGTAGCCCATCTGTAATTGGAGACACAAGCGACCTATAGCAGGTAAAGCTTCAATGCTACGTTAAGGTGAAGACAACAAAGTACGAAGCATTTTTCTTTTGCGAATAGAGGTGTGAGAAATTTTTTGCTAAACAAAATGTTAGATACTTACCTAACGAGATGAAGTAAGCAGGGTACAAAAATGTGGCAGTGAATTGCTTTAAGAATGAAAGTCTACAAAGTAGTTAAATAGTTTGAGCTTACTAATGGCGATGTGCGATTTAAGGATCTGCTTCGAAAACATCTACAAGATGCGTAAATTAGCCTGCACTAAAAGAAAACGCTAAAGGCAGCGCTGAACAGTCGAGACCGCTTCAAATAAGAATGAGTCAGAAATTGTGCGCAGACTTGTCTGAAGCATTGGCTATGAAGCTAGAGGGTTCAATAGGTTTGCCCATCTTTTGTGGCGTTGGTTTCTCGATTAGCACAACAGCTTTACAACTGTCAAGCTTTATCTACACCTTTAAAAGCTCAAAAACTGCAACCCTGCTTACTATCTTGAGGTGGCATCTTTTTGACAAAAAACTCACTCTTGGACTGATCACATGGTAGTTGTGGATTTTTTGTCTGGTCTGGAATCTGTTTACTTCAAATCTTATGCACACATGTCCATTCAAATTCATCTGATTGCGATGATAGAGTTGAATTTTGACCCAAGGTTTGTTTTTTTGTTCACTGTCAACCGTTTCAACGATTTCTCTCATTAGGATTCCGTATTTGGTTAAATAAATTTAGCGCCTGATTGCGCCTCATGTTGCGCACTCCGACCTGAATGTTTGATGTTCAGAAGTTGAAGTCCTCTGTGATTGAGTGAGTAGCAGTCTAGATGGGGTTAAGGGTGAATGGGAGTAACGCCTCAATCCTTTTTTGCTTGGTTTTCTTCAAATAAATTATCTGTTTATTTATGTTAGCCACCATGCAGTTGTCACTTTGGCGCAACCTATTCCAAGGCATTTGTGCGACTTTCCCCTAAAGATTCGTGTGCTTCTAGGCAGTCTGAAAGACATTACTGACGACTACCATGTGGCCTTCCTCTTCCTCGGCTTCAGTCAAATGCTTGGCGCAATGCTGGCTCTCCTGGCCATCATCTGTCGTAGACACAAGACCTTCCGCTCCTTTGCGGAGAAGAAGAGTCTTGAAGGACACTGCGATAGTCAAGAGACCCTCCTCTCAAGCATTGTCGAGCCTTCCAATGAACAAATGAACGTGAAGAGCCTCGAAGAGACAGAAATTGCAGATGCAAACGGAGAGGTGGTGGTGGCAGTGGTGGACGCAGGCGAGGAGTCCCAGGTAAAGGAGTTGCATTTATCTGGGGGCACTTGGGAGACTTCAGGCTTGCCTACCACAAAACTAACCTACGGCAGTGAAGCCTGGAAGAAACTTATCTTTCCATAATTATCGGTCGAAGGCATTATCTGTACTCTGCGATAATCACAGAGTTTTTATCTTGCGAAGTGACTATCTTAGACTTAGTGAATGGCTCGCTCTAGTCGATTGTCAAGATCTCTTTGCTTACAATACTGTTGGCTGAATTGTTTTTCTCTTTATTATTGTTTTTAGCCCCTTACTACTTGTAAGACATGATCGCGAAGGAAGGTGGAGGCAATTTAAATGGACGCCATTAATGGGTAGTGCCATGCCCGCAGTTGGAAATCACTACCTCTTCTCTAGTCTCTTGTTTGCTCTTTGTCTATATCCACTTAACGATTTCATCTTTGATTCTGACCTGTGAATGTTCGCGAGAGGATTGGGATATCATCAAACGGGAATCAAGCTTGTGTGTTAAGTAAAACTGTCGAATATATTGAAGGCCTATTCAACAGATCAGGCAAGCGCATGTTTCAAGACATTGTGCTTTAGGGCATTTGTGGATACGAGATAGCGAGGTTACACTGGTGTTTTCAATAAGCAAGGTAATTTGATTGACCCGCATGTTCACCACTTTGCCAAAGCTAATTCGAACACATGACTTTTCGACGCAACCTGAAATATACTGTTCCTTTCTGCTTCAACAACGCGGGCTCTGTGATCACACCATGCTATTTAAATTATCCTTGTGTTCACTATAGTGCGCGAGTTTACATGTGTGCCGTACATGAAGTTCACTGTTGTTGGCGCACAACTCTAGCAACACGGTTCAGCCACATTGAACACTTCACTGAGCTATGGAAAAGTGGGATGCTTCTGCGAAAAGTAAGTCCACAATTATCATTGATGCGCCGAAGGCTGCAAGTCCGGACAATAGATGGCGGCACCTAAAAATGGCGCATAAATAGCAGGATAGAGGGTGGGGTCTACTCTGCATGCCTACTTTCTACGTTTCACAAACCTACGGAACGATTGGTCGCTAACAACACTTCGGATATGATAGTAGATATGTACTGTATTGCCCATGTCATGACCTGTAATTTTAGTGATTATTTAGAGTTGATATCTCACGCCGGTGTTGATAGAATGAAACCTGGGGTTTTAAATCTTAGAAACAACTGGTGCGCTTGTGTGACAAACTGCTCAAACCTGCTGCAGGGCAAGACGTCACAATTTAGAGTTGCCGCGAACAAAGTACGGTAAGTTAGGAGAAGAGAAGTATGTTATTCGCCAACACTCAATCGAATTGCGAGAACGTAATGACGAAACAGCTCCTCAAGATATCGCATCATATTGTACACACTGTTAAAGAATAACTTTGTGCATATGATACAGGCAATTAAAGTATGTGGGAGGTGGAAACAATTTTTGTCAAACAGCTTCTATCAACAAAGCCACATTGCAATCATGTAGAATTTGCTATTCACTGGATGTGGAAGGACTACCTTAAGAAGCTTACCTTCGTCTTTTTTGCTCACTCTCCACAGGGGTGTATTTAGTACAAAGCATCGATATCCCGTTCGGAGTAAGCAGGCAGGAATGCTCTACTACATACCGAGTGTTTTGTACCTCCAGTACTGTACATGAGTGATTTCGAAGAATTACAGAAGGCATGTTATCCATGCCTCTTTTCTTCGTAGATCTAGATTGTAATCACAAGGAGGGCAGATAAAAGATCTGGTGGGAGGATAGAGCGGCGGTACAAAGGTTTTTCCTCTAGTTTTGCATACAGATGAACGAAATGCATGGATCAAAATCAAAATTCTGGATAGTACTCATGGCTAGAATCGCGAAGAAGATAGATGTATCGAGGGTTGCTATACTCGCGGATTAGAAATACACAAAGTAGTCAAAATACCAAAAGCTGTTCAGGATGCCAAATGTTTCGCTCATGTGCCAAAATTAGGTTTAAAATTGAGCAAAATGCTATTGATTCATTTCGTTACATTTTCACTTTGGCATTCTCTATCATTCTATCAAAATATTTCACTATATAGCAGAGCTATTGCTTATTCGTCCACATTTTCGGTGCACTAGCGCGTGAAAATTTAGAAGCTGTGGTCTAGGTTGAGATCGATTCATCTATTATTGATAGCATCACTCTAACCGCAACCATCTATGGGGTTAATTAAAAAATTAACTCGGTGATTCGGATTTCAATGTTCCCACTAGGAAACGTAAACTGTAACAAGTAGTAAAGCATGCATTGCATCTATATATATCAAAAAAGCGTTTTTCGCTGATTTTACTATAGTTAATTAGGATTTTAGTAAGAGCGCTGAAAAATGGATCATACAAAGCGAAAAACAAATTTCTTGTAACATAATATTTGTCCCCTAACCAATGTCTATTACCATAGCAACTCAATCTTGTAACCTGAGTAAATATAGAAAACCTAAAACGCTACCGGAATTCTGTACTGAAGAAAAGAATGGCGCTAAACCTAATACCAAAGGACCTTTGTTTGAATCGTTGTGCTTGAGGAACCGTTATCTGTGGAGTCGGCGCTGTCCCGGCATGGTTGCAAAAGTCGCGAAGAAGCCAGTTTCGAAAGGACCAACGAAAAAGCAGCCTCTAAGGTTCACTATTGAGTGTTCTGCTGAAGTCGTCGAAAAGGATATCATTGACTTTGCCTTCTTCGTAAGTTCTAACTTGTGGCACTTGCGGTGTCTCACTGCAGATTAGGGCCACCTTCCCTAATCTTGTGCCATCTGGCGTTTCTAGGAGAGATATCTAAGGGAGCACATTAAAGTAAATGGCAAAGTCAAGAATTTGGGCAAGGATGTGCACGTGGAGCGCGAGAAGTCTACGATTCACGTGACTTCGTCGATTCCCTTTTCGAAAAGGTGAGCGAATTCGAGTTGTTTCAAATCTTTCAGGTATCTTAAATATCTCACGAAACGATTTTTGAAACTCCATAATCTTCGTGACTACCTTCATGTCATCGCCACAAGCAAGGTCGCCTACCAGTTGAAGTTCTTCAACTTTGATACGGAAGAAACGGATGACGAGGAATAACCTGCTACTATATATATATATATATGATTGGTCGAACGTTTATTTTGGTTTATTTCAGGGCTTGTTTTTAGGTATCTGACGTTTCTGAAATATGCGTGTTGCCCCGGCTGTAATCGTTTTTTTGGGGGTGGGAATTACTTGTCTCGTACCTTGCGGCACTGTCTGCAAGCAATTTTTTCATCTAAATGTTCCTTTCCAGTCGTATTTCTCCCTCAGTACGTCGCCTGCTCTTACCCTAAGAATCGATGCGTTGGGAAGGTAGTTTTGTCTAATGTATTTATTAGCAAGGAGGTTGAGGTTGGTGGATTTAGTTTGACGTCCTCGTTTGAGTGGCGTAGTTGATCATTTCAATGCCAAGAGATTGCAGGTTGATTGGCTCTTCTGGTGTAGGTGTTGCTACCCAATTTCGAAGGTAGAGTAGGATGGAAATGGGAGCTACAACGATGCTAAGCAGTAGTGCCAGTAGTGCTCCTCTGAAACCTAGGAGAGGCAGTAGTCGTGTGTGTGATATCTAATGTCGGAGCTCGACGTTATTCAATCTCGCGAGTACGTACGGGTTGTTGTTCCATCCGCTTGCTTGATGCTTTCGTCTGCTTTTCTTATTTTTAAAACCCCCATTTGGGGCATTGTCGGGTTTTGGAGAGTGCAATCAGGAATGGCTTGAACAGGCAACTTGGAAGTGAGTCGAGTTTCACAGAACATTGTCCTGTTGCTGTCGGATTTTTCTTCTTGAGATTCTGGTGAATTGTGATCCGCCGTAGAAGCATCAGGACTAAGGTCGTCCGTGGCTCTAGCTGTGATTTCTTCGTAGACCTGGGGAGAATAAGAGCGTCATCTGTGGAATAGATGTTCGCGACCTTGTGTCGCAGTGCGCGCCGTGAGTTGACAAATTTTAAGTAGTATTATGCTAGCCATCAAAAGATGTTTCTAATGGGTGATTTAGGTGTTGCAGGTACATGCTATAAACACGTATGATTCGGTTTACCATGACCAGGGCGTTGACGTTGGTTTTCCCGCTGGTCGGTTTACTTGATCCTGGTGTGGATTCTGGTTCCCTTTTCGAAGAAAGTGATTTTAATTCATGCAAGGGCTCCTGATTATTGTTACGAGAAGGTGAAGGGGGACTAGATAGTGGAGGTGATTTTGAAACGTCCCTCCTGCTGCTTAGAGCGGAACCGCTGAGAGCTCGTGATTTACTTAGAGCAGGGTATTTGCTGATGGAAGTACGATCGCTCATTTCTACCTTACTGAATCCCTGAGTGGAGTATGAGGATAAATGAGGTAAGTTCAATCCAGATTTAGGGAAGAGATCTGCTTTTTTTAAAGGAGTCCAAGTATTATCATGAGGAGGACTGTGAGTGAAGACAGGCAGCTTCTTCGAACGTTTGGATTTAGCTGGCGGTGATGAAGCTTCGGCACCTGCAGCCTGCAGCCATTTCTTTTGCCGTTCCTCAAGTTTTAGATCATTTGGGTTCATTACTTCTTCTTCGTCGCTCATCTCATGCGCTGCACTTTCACTGTGAGAGCTGGTGATAACATGCCTTTCAACGGCCTTAAATTGAGCTGAAATTTCAAGATAATGTGTAGCATTATCCAGTTTAGTAGACTTAATGTTAAGTAATATCACAACAATTAGTTCGTGATTGTTTTAGTGTTGCAGTTCTGATTGGGACCATATTCGTTCTTAGTTATTACGTCTTTGGAAGTGATCTTAATCCATCCTAGTGATAATTATGAAAGACGAAATCTACATCGATAGGCTAATGACTAAATGGCATTAATTTTAAATAGCTATTGCATTACTGTTGGACTTACTAGTTTTAGGCACGACCTATACAGAGTTTGCTCTTGTTCACTAGAGGGTGAGGTTTACGGTGATAGAAGGCTTGATCTACTCAACTTTCATCGTGGTGCACGCTTTTTAATGCTTCGTCAAGCTCATTAACTTGCTCTTTGACAGGACGGACCTCAGCGTACCACTGCTTCGGTACAAAAGTAGTAACTCTCTGGAAACTATCACACAATAGTAGACAAAGCGGCATTCAGTGTTCGAAGCTTCAAATTATTAATAATATATGACACCTACGAAACCACATACTTGATCAACAATCTTATAGCTTAAGAATTAAAGTTTAGAGCACAGGTAATTTCAGGGAAGCAGAATGGAGTTTGGAATTCAATCCATTGTATGGTCCATATTAGGATGTTAGTGGAAGTGTCAAGTGAACGGACGTGGAAAACATTCACATCCGTGTGGGAGAGAGAAATCGCCAATGTTGCAGTAATCCGATAAACTTCTTTCTGATAATCTGTTTCAAAGGCGGGTAACTCTCCTAGTCGATGGCACTGTGCTCTTTTCATTTTCCTTCTTTTCTCAATTTTTTCTATTTAACCAGCTAAAAAATTAGTTTGACACTACCGCCTCAAAAGCATCAGCAAAATACCATGAAGAAGAATATGCAACAGTAAGTGTGAAAACTAATAAATTTGTACCTGCTAGCCTCATCCTTAACTCTTCGTTGAAATGTTTGGGTATGGGCACGCATGAATCCTGTGAATTAGTAAAACGCGAAACAGCGTAATGTTATACATTGCCACGATCAAAATTTCGCGTTACCTTTACATAGTCCTCAATCTTCTTCCTCATATCTAGTAAAAATTCAGAAATTTACTTTGTTATATGACTAACAAAAGTCAAAATACTGAGAAATGACTGGTCCTAATGCAGTGTTCTAATTTAAGAAAACAACTATGACTGACAGAATCGTAGACTCCTCGCTTAAAGTGTGCTCTGCTTAGCTAAGGAAGATGCTAGACTTAATCTAGGATCATCTAACAACCAAGCTTGCCTGTTTCAGTCGCGGTTTTAACCCTTCTGGAGTGGTTGCTGGTCTTGAGTGAAAGGCAGCATTCCTGGCACAAGAATTTGCGTGATCCAATAAAGAACTTGGAATCAGGTGTAAAGTTAATTCTACTCACTAAAATTATTCATATTAACATACCCACACTTAAAACATTTGCAACAATCCTTGTGAAAGTTTCCGAACTGAGTTATTATCCGATCACCTTCGATGAGAGCTTGACATGCGTAACAGCACGTTGACTTAATGTCGTTGTAGCAAACAAGTTTGCCTGATAGTACAAAATAGGGCTTATTCTGAAGATCTACGTTGCAAACTATTAGGTTATTTATAATTAGACAATCTATGTAAGGGCACCAGAACATCGGAAACACTCAAGATGGAAAATTCCCTCCTTCATTTGATAAAACGGGATCAAACACTTTTGACCACAACAAAGACACACACATCCCGACATTACACGTTGTCTAAAATACAAGTAGGAGCATCTATAATTAAAAACCAAAACTCAGTTAATTTATCTTTGGCAATGGTAATGTAATTGAACACGGTAATACCTACACAAGGTTACAATGATGCGGCTTTTGGCAATTTTAAAGTTGGTCAATCAAAACAATAAGTGCTGCTAGTGTTTACTACTTAAGTGCACTAGAAGCTGAGAGACAAGTTCATGCCCTCGTAGATAATCGTAACTTATATAAATGGATTTTTAATTACTCTACACATGCAACTGAACTTCACAAAAAAACTAACATTAAAGAAAGCATAAAGTTTAAACCATTTTACTAAAAAAATTAAGTATGTCAAGTGTGATCCAAAATCATGGAATTCAAGGAAACATAAAAAGTCGTAGTTTTAGGCGTTTCTCAGTTAGTTCATGAACGCACATAGCGGTCTCACTGTGTTTTTTGCTGTGGTGTTCATTTCGTATTTAATACTGTAAAACCAGCCCGAAGATTCGCAGAACTTGGACTTCAAGAAAGGGTCAGTTGCAAAAGTTTCATTCACTGTTGTGTAAAGAAAGGAAATTGAGAAGGACAGATGATACTGAAAGCAAATGTGAGCCTAAGAAGGTATCGCCACACTCCTTACGCACTGGATTGTGCTCGATTTCGATTTCTCACCTCTTCCCTATATAAGTCGCTTTAAACACACTCTCATATATTACAAAAACGGCGAGAAGAAATGTCCTATTAGATACAAGATGCTGTGTTGTCTGTGTTGACGGAAATAAAAGCGAGCTTAAAATCTTCGTGACTTAGTGTCCAGTCAAAATGGCATAAGTAGTATATCTGCAGCGATTCGAGACTTCATTAGATAGAAGATATTAAGTAGAGCTGAGCACATGTATTCTAGGGAAGGCCAGCCCAAGCATACGAAAGTCAGGTGAATCCTTAAGTACCGGCAAATATCAGGTGGTTACATAAACAAAGTATAACAATGCCCATTTTCATGACTGCCATCTATACATACAACTATCAAAAGAAGCATAACCGTGTAGCACTTAGATATTCCCCTCGGGAAGCAGAAGGCATAAAGTTGGACTGAATGCATGTATTCTGGGAGAGGAAGAAGGGATTAAGCCTCGACTCGATCTGAAGAACTGCCCACGCGTGCAAGGACACGTGCATAACGCACGTAGATTTGCATTTCTTTATGAGCAGCACATTTTGCACTTCTCTTTCATTTTCCTTTTGAGTCGGCAATTACAGTAGTACTAACTCCGCAAATTAATTTCCTTACGCAGGTCGCCCCGATGTTTTGATTCCATATGACAGATGAGCAAATGGGTAACGATCCAATCAAATCTTGTAAGCAGCTTTTTAAAGCAATTAATTCTCAATAAGTGACAAAAATGTAAAATATGGAGTCTCGCCAACCATCATAGGTGTCCCGAAAGGGATGTAGAAACGAAGACATAAAACAGATATAAGTAGTTACATAAACAATGTATTGCACTCATCAGAGCATATTTGCTACTGCGAGAACGTACCCACGAGTAAGCTGATCCAGGCGTCAGCTACTATGATACAGAGGGATTACGCTTCATCTTTCAGCAGCCTCAACTGTAGGCAGAGTTGTGCTCGATCTGAGGACTATCCATCGTGCCGATGACTGGACGTTAGCACACCGGTCCAAAACAGATGTTTAGGAAGGAAAACCGAATCAAACGCAGTTCCCTATGCATGAAGAACCGAAGTAGCGCCACCTCCGACACACCACCATCTCCGGATACAATGAGAAATTACCGACACGAAACCATGTCATGGCATGTCATGTTCATGGCAATGTCGATTAAGTTGGTAATAGCTTGACTGTGGAACACGAAAACGGGATAGAGTTAAACACAGATACCATTCTCGACACTCCTGTTGTGAGGAATGTAGGAGATATTCTGCTTGCGGA